ATGAAAAATGAAATTGCTAAATTGAAATAAAAAATTTTAACATTGGGACTTAGAGAGGGGGTGGAGGGGGGATACATAATAAGGGAGGGTTGAAAATTTTACCCAACAAGGGGAGGGGGTTTCAGAGTCTATCTGAGCCACCCCTATCCCTCCGTTCGCATGCGTCAATTAAATAAAAAAATAAAATTGTTAAATTTAAATAGAAATTTTGAGAATTTGGAGTTTGCGAGGGGGTGGAGGTGGGATGCACAATAAGGGAGAGTTGAAAATTTTACACAACAAGAGGGAGGGTTGCAGAGTCTATCTGAGTCACCCCCATCCCTCCGTTTGCATGCGTTAAATAAATAAAAAAATAAAATTGTTAAATTTAAATAAAAATTTTGAGTAGTTGGAATTTGCGAGGGGGTGGAGGGGGACGCACAATACAGGAGAATTCGAAATTTTACCCAACCCCCTCCCCTTGTCGGCTAAAATTTTCAACCCTACCCTATTATGCATCCCCCCTCCACCCCCTCTCGAACTCCGAATTTTCGAGATTTTCTTTTTTATTTGACAATTTAATTTTTTTATTTAAGCAACGCATGCGAACGGAGGGATGGGGGTGGCTCAGATAGATTTTGAAACCCACTCTCCTTGTTGGCTAAAATTTTCAACCCTCCCCTATTAGGCATCTCCCCTCCACCCCCTCTCGAAATCCCAATGTTAAAAATTTTTATTCAAATTTAGCAATTTTATTTAAATAATGTATGCATATGGAGGGGTAAGGGTGTGTTAAACATATTTTGTCATGTTCCTTAATTATTTATAAAATTATGTGTAAAAAAGTTGACCCCCGTCCGCGGTCCCTTTGGAGCGTCGGCCGTACAGTCCGCTCTAAAAGTTGTGGATATCGTTCGCCAGTTTCAAGCTCATCGTCCTCATCACATCACGTCTTTCCGACCAATGAAAAAAATGCGTCTCAACTGCGCCTGTTTTCGTTGGTTTTCGTCGTGTTGATATTCAATTTTTTTCAGCGTGTCCGTGCATGAGTCCGGCGACACACGGCTGTGGGCTTTGGAAAGAAGGGGGGCGGGCCTCCCTGAATTCGCAGAATCGTTCAATGTATCTTTCTCATCGCTGGCGCGATTTGTTTTTGTCGAAGAAAGATCTGTTTTTTCGACCTCTGGGCGTTAAAACAAATGTACATACCTGTGAAATGTATACATTTTTCTCACCTCGAATCGTAAGTCATGCTCACAATTCATCGACGTGAGACATTGAATCAATTGCCTTAGACTTCAATTTTGATTCGTATAAATCAAGAGCGTGAGGAACTTTAAATCAAAGTTTTCCTACCGTTGAATAATTCGCGTCAACATTGAACTGAATCCCGGCGACATTGAATTAAGAGCGCGGCTTTTTGGCGGCGGAAAATAGGACCCCAAGCGCCGAAAATTATGAATCAATGGTGCCGCCCTCGATTCAAGAGCGCGACTTTGAAACAAAGTCGGTGCTTTTGAATTTTTTTCGATGTCGAGCGTGACTTTGAAATAGCGTCCAGATTTTTCTTAGTATACTCGTTTGGGCTACGTGCGTAGAAATTTCATTTTTCAGTACTTTTTTCGCTATGATTAATAAACAAGGCTCCTAGACGACAATCTTTTTCACTCAAAAAATCATTGATCACATGTTCTAAATGTGTCTAAACTTTCATGACTTTGGCTGCATTTTTTCCTTGGGTTTTGCAGTTTTTTGGTGATTTCCATAAGAGAAACGGGTTAAATGACCACTTCTTCAAAAATTAATAATAAATTAACCATGCTCCCCAGCAGTCTGAAACTTTGCACACGCCTTTTCCATCATTTAAAGAATACGTAAAAAAAAGGAAAAAATGGCTGCTTTTTTCTAACCCTCCGCCCGATTATCCTTAAGCTGACCTTTGTAATCCTTAACCCGACGCATGTAACCCTGATTTGTATCCTTGATCTGATTGTCATTATAACCCTCGTAAGCCTTAATCTGACCCTTGTAACCCTTATTCTGACTCTTGTGCTGTTAATTAAATTGATTAATTGAATTAAATTCATTAAATTAAATTAATTCAATCGAATTTATTTTAATTATAGTATAATGATCCTTTTTAAAGATTGAAAATAANAAAGAGCGTGAGGAACTTTAAATCAAAGTTTTCCTACCGTTGAATAATTCGCGTCAACATTGAACTGAATCCCGGCGACATTGAATTAAGAGCGCGGCTTTTTGGCGGCGGAAAATAGGACCCCAAGCGCCGAAAATTATGAATCAATGGTGCCGCCCTCGATTCAAGAGCGCGACTTTGAAACAAAGTCGGTGCTTTTGAATTTTTTTCGATGTCGAGCGTGACTTTGAAATAGCGTCCAGATTTTTCTTAGTATACTCGTTTGGGCTACGTGCGTAGAAATTTCATTTTTCAGTACTTTTTTCGCTATGATTAATAAACAAGGCTCCTAGACGACAATCTTTTTCACTCAAAAAATCATTGATCACATGTTCTAAATGTGTCTAAACTTTCATGACTTTGGCTGCATTTTTTCCTTGGGTTTTGCAGTTTTTTGGTGATTTCCATAAGAGAAACGGGTTAAATGACCACTTCTTCAAAAATTAATAATAAATTAACCATGCTCCCCAGCAGTCTGAAACTTTGCACACGCCTTTTCCATCATTTAAAGAATACGTAAAAAAAAGGAAAAAATGGCTGCTTTTTTCTAACCCTCCGCCCGATTATCCTTAAGCTGACCTTTGTAATCCTTAACCCGACGCATGTAACCCTGATTTGTATCCTTGATCTGATTGTCATTATAACCCTCGTAAGCCTTAATCTGACCCTTGTAACCCTTATTCTGACTCTTGTGCTGTTAATTAAATTGATTAATTGAATTAAATTCATTAAATTAAATTAATTCAATCCAATTTATTTTAATTATAGTATAATGATCCTTTTTAAAGATTGAAAATAATTATTGATAATGGTTGATAAAACTTAATTTGAATAGTATAATAATAGGTGATTAAATTATCCGAAAAACTTATTAAGATTAATGTCAGGTGGAGCGGATCTGAATCTGATCATTTTCTCTTCGATTGACCCCTTTCAAATGCCGATCAAGGACATCAAATCTGAATTTGATCAAATTGGGGTCAGGCAGCCGCCCTCAGGGTGAGATTGTGCCTACCGGATCAGAACTTGATCTGAATCATCCTGCAGTTTTTCGGATCCGATCTACTGAATCAAAATTTGGTCAGGTTCTCATCAGGCATCATTTAATCATGTCTACCTGATCAGAACTTGATCTGAACCCGTCTGTAGTTTTTCGGATCCGATCTGCTGGATCAAAACTTGGTCAGGTTCTCATCAGGCATCATCTGATCATGTCTACCTGATCAGAACTTGATCTGAACCCGCCCGTAGTTTTTCTGATCCGATTTGCTGAATCAGAACTTGGTCAGGTTCTCATCAGGCATCATCTGATCATGTCTACCTGATCAGAACTTGATCTGAACCCGCCCGTAGTTTTTCTGATCCGATTTGCTGAATCAGAACTTGGTCAGGTTGTCATCAGGAATCACCGGATCAGTCGAACCTTACAAAAACCTGATCAACTTCTGATCGTGCTCCAGGTGGGCCTGAAGCAATTTCCACTCGGGTATCTTTCCAACTTCAATCAAGTAGTTTTCCTCCTGGAATCGAGGTGAAAAATATTTGAATCGAGTTGCGATCGTCTCTTTCTATCCTGTCATTCTTTCATCTGCTGTCTTTTTTCGTGGGCGTGTCACTCATGGTATCTTGTCAACTTCGCCATTTATATCAGGTAATTATTGTAATATGGACCTGAGAATCGAAATTGGAAAATTCAAGATATCGCTTATTAACTTCCCCATTAATATCGGGTAATTATTGTACTGGCCCTGAAAATCGAAACTGGAAATTTCAAGATATCACCACGGTTGATGAAAAAGATGTTTTTTTTTATGTCGATGTTTGTAAAAGAATGTTCCTGTGTGTATGTGTGTATAAATAAAATGTTATCTCACAATTTCTTTGAACAAGCGGTTCTATTCAATTTTTTCTCATATAATCGACGCTTCCATGTAACTTAGATCTAATTATATTCTGAGCAATATTGTCTCAGCTGTTCTTTCAATTTTTCAATAAAACTAGCGGAACCGCATGGTACAATAACTTTTTTTTCACAAAGGCGATTATTTCTCCTGAAGAAATAATGGGATTAATTTGTCTTCATCACAATTGATGCAGTTTTATATGACTAATGTTACATACGAACACAATACAGTAGAGTCTTCGTATAAGAAACCTTAGGGACAGTAGGAGAGTGGAATTCCGGTAACCCCTATGCGCCTACAGAGAGGAGCAAAATAGGGATCAGCGGGCTTCAAATAAGATACCTCGCTCGCTGCGCCCAAATTCAGTGAATGAGGTTTTTGAGAAATTGCTGTATCTCGGAAACTACTCGACCAATTGCGCTGAAAAGGCGCTCAGAAGTGCTTCAAAGTAATACCAATTATGTGACGAAATTTCAGATTTTTAGCTTAAACTCCAGTCCTCTTTCTATGAAGATTTATAAAAATTTTCTGAAAAATTGGCACACTCATCCGAACATACATACCCACATTTTCATGACATTCTACGTCATTTCCAGGCAAAATTAGAAGATCATCAAATCAACGATTCCAAAGCTTTTCCTGATTTTTACAACTTTTTGTGAAATAATTAAATTGACAATTACAGTTGTCACTGATATTTTCATTAAAAAAATGAATTTTCCATTACGAAATTCCGTGGAATTTGAGTAGAATAGTCACTCGATAAGATTATGAAACAGAATTTTCTACTTCGAACATTTTCAAGGACGTTGGTATTAAACTTCGATGTGTCAAGATATTCTAGAAAATCTTTTGTCTCCATTAGTAACAAAATGTGTAGACAAAGAAACTTCGTTAATCGACATGATGTCAAACTGATAAGAAAATCAGTCGAGCGCTATAAAAATCGGTGGATTTACCTCAGCAGTCTAGAAGTTTTTCAGACTCCTCAATATAATCTCTACTATTGTGTTAGCATGGCGAGCGTTAATTTTCTCGTTGTGTTCGGTATTCTAGCCATGATCAACATGGCATATTGTGACATAGTTACGGACGTCCCTTGTTACAGAAGACCTTTCCAGACATACAGATTGCGTTGCATCGCCGAAGGTAATTATTAAAAATTCCACAATCAAGAACAACTGCACAAATAAAATTGGATTCTTTTTTTTGTAGAAGGAATTGTGCCGAATGGTGACTTCATACAGATGGATGTGTGCGTGTTCAAGGCTGCTGAAGTAGTAAGACTTTTGATATGAAAAATACTAATGCGACTGTAGCCAAGAGTTCCGGACTACCTGTAAATATTAGGGAATTTTTTAAAAAATCAGATGACGAGCGGTTGGCCCAAGTGGTCGTCAGCAATTTTATAGAAGAACAAGTCGACAAATACTTGTTCGAAGTTGAATTGATACTTGATTCAAGTCGAGGACGTACTTCACCTGAAAACTCCAAGTTTTACTGATACAAGTGCACTAAAAAACTGTTTCATAAATATCCTCCTGACTTCAATCAAGTACACTCAGAAAAAAAATCTTCACTTTGAGATTTCAAAGATCTTAAATTTCAGAGTTTCGGAAGTCTCCACTTGAGATTTTCGAAAGGATCAAATAGAGATTTCTAAGTCTCAATTTGAGTGTCCTTGATCCTTCTGAGAGTCTCAACTTGAGATTTTCGAGAGTCCTATTTTGAGTCTTGATAATCTCAATATTGAGAGTTGCGAAAACATTGAGACTTTCGAAAGTCTTGACTTAAGACATTCGAAAGGTTCGACTTGAGATAGTTGAGTCTTAACTTGAAACTTTCGAAAATCTCAAGTTGAGAGTTTCAGATCTGTATTTAAGAGTTTCGCAGGCGCAATTTAACACTTCCATAAGTGTCAAATTGAATTTTTTTTTTTAGTGTACTGATTCCATTCAGATCGAGTCATAGAATTTACTCGAATCAAGGCATAAAATCTATTTGAATCAAATTAAATCCAACCTTCATCAAGTCGCTATGCTGATTTGCACCTCTCTCAGGCCATATCTTGCCGATATGGTTCACTTAAACTCAGATCAAATCAAATTCGTCGATTTGACTCACGATTTATTGTTTGGCGTAAAAACATATAATGATTATTAAAGGATAGAATTGAGAAATTTGGACATCAATATGCGAATAAGATTTTCCTAATCGAAAATATATTCTTCACTTTGTTCAACAGGTCAACGAAGACGGTGACATAGATGTGGGGAAATTCGTGAGAATTGTTCAGAATGATGCTATCAATGGTACAATATTTCTTGACAAGTACATTGAAGGCCAGCGCAAGTGCCTAGAAAAAGGTAAAGTATAACAGAATTAAATGTAGAAAATTATAACCACCTCATGGAAAATGATAAAGACATTATGAAACATTGCTGTATTGATTAGTGCGCATTCTATCTAAGCGTGTTCATATTCTTCTCTCAATGTATCTAACACACTCGGAAAATAAACAGATTTTATGTTATAAGTAAAAAAGGGTGCTTCGCGCGCAAAGAATCGCCTTTTTCTTATTAGTATCATAATAGTCCATTTTGACACTAGGCCTTGAAAACCTACTCTGGCGAATATGACACCCAAAAAAAAGTGGGCCTGAATCAGATCGAAAAATCGGTCTGAAACAAATCGGAATGAATCATGCCGAGAATTGACTTGTTTCATGTCGAATTGATGGCATGAATCAAGTCGGACTCGGGCCGACTTGATTCATGCAAACCGGAATATCGGTCCGATTCAGGTCGATTTCTCAACTTGATTCAGGCCAACTTCAGCTTCATTTAGGTCGATTAATCGGTTTGAATCAAGTCGTTTATACTGGAAAAATAGGGGGGGGGGGGGACAGTGGTAAATCGAGAATTCAATACAACCCCCCCCCCATGTATCCGGCCACACACAAAGCTCCCCTTATGTAAAACCTTCTCCTTGACGATGACCCATGGCCCCAAATCGGCTTGAATCAAGCCGAAAAATCAACTTGAATCAAACCCAAAAATCTACTTGAATCAAATCGAAAAATCGACTTGAATCAAACCAAAACCCTCTTTCTTCGGCTCGGGCGGTAATCCACGGGCGGGTTAGAATCTCTTGTTTTCCACCCTTCGTGCACAATATACTATCGTCATTTTCTCCCTGATGAGAGCAGGAGGAAAGTGGGTACTTCTCGCTCTAGGGTGAAAAGTAATCACTTTCCTCCTGCTCATCAGAAAGTAAAATCCAAACTTTTCTCTGCAGGCGCGTTAAGAAGTAGCATGCGCACCTCGAGCGGGGAAAACATGACTTTCCGGACTTGGTGCACAATACACAATTTCTCTTCTCTGTATATGATAATAAATGCCCCGAAAATTCCTCATTGCTGGAGTATTCAAGTCTTAATTCCTCTGGTGATTATTACAGAGACATATGACAATGCGCAAGAGGCAGTCAAAGCTTGGAACAATTGTGAGAAGGACACGAAAGTATTCTTGAAGCAGGCACTATGCAATGACTACGAAAGAGACGCTCAGAGTTCTGAACAATTGTGAGAATGAGTGTGACACTGAAATATTATTGGGGATAGCAGTATGCAAACGATGATGTGGCAGGAATTTCAGTAGCGAAGCGGTAAATCGGTTTAGACCTCAGTTGAGTCTTTGAGGAATATCTCCGAATCTTTTTTTTTATCGTTGTTTTACATCGCTTCGCCCCGGCTAGGGTATACTGCGTTGATGATGAAGACTTTAAATGGTTAGATCGCACCATTCTACCCGGCCGGGATTTGAACTCGGAACGTTTCGCATGTGAGGAAATGAACTTACCCACTGCGCCAGGCCACCGGAATTATCTCCGAATCTAAGGGAGGTACCGAAATTTTCGTGATGACCTTTTGTGTAGAGCTAATTGAGGGCTACAAACAAGATTTTAACAAAAAAATTTCCCCATGTCTTCCCCATGGATTCGGAGATATTCCGTGAAAACTTGCCAATAGTAAAATTGACTTGTACCGTTTTACCGCTTCGCTACTGATTTGTTATACGAATTTTCTAGAATATCCAATTGTTCGACAAATTGTCTATTTTTTTTTAATTTGGAAACTACAATGAATGAAGTAACTTCAATGAATGAAACTTTAATTACAATGAATAAAGAAATGTTGATAACCCTGTTTCATTAGAATAGGGATTTTCCATGTTGCACCAGAGAAACTTCGTAATCACTGTCATTACCATGTTTTTAATCATCACAGAATCATTATTGTACATTAATACAATTGGTCTTTTCTCCGTCTAAATAATAATTTTATTCCCAACTAATGAAGTCGTTAGTTGGATCAAAGAAACATTTGTTCATGTTGTGACGTGTGGAGATATTGACACGTCGATTTTGTTTAGTTAATATTTTATAATGAAATTAAGGCAAAAATGTCTGGGCTGAATAAGCAGTCCCACGCTGACACTTGAGTCCAGCTTCTTGGGATAGAGCTGTTTGACTGTTGTAGCCATTGTCAGTGATGACATATGGCCATGTTAGTTTCGAAAAACCGTGAGAATGCTTATTAAGCATTTCGAGCTAGCAACGGCTCCAAAGCTCTAGAGTAAGGCAGGGTACGGCAGGAGTTAAAGTTGGACGGATGTCCACTCCTGGCCAAAAATCTATAGCAGACCCGCGTAAAAACCGAACCCGTTAAACAGTTGATTTGTAACTCATCCATCTATTATCCATATAATATACTGTTTATTATTAATAGATTGGTAGTGTTCGGCTATTTGAGTACACAATACCTATCCCGATCCTCATCCTAGTCGCGTCACGTTGAATCTGAGCGGACTCCCCGTGAGCTCTGACCGTATAGCTAGCTGAGCATAGGGACGCCATTATCCACAAACTCTGGGCGGAATTACCCACAAACGCGGATGCTGATAAAATAGCCAATAATAACTGATGAAGATATTTTTCTGCTATTGAAAAGGTCGCAATGGATGTGGAAATGTGTAAGAAACATATATTTTGCAATCCACTCAATTATGGACCAACTGAAAATTTGAAAAGTCTTAAATCCCGAGTGGAAATTCAAATCAGGCTGGAGTCCGAAACTGATCCGTAAAAACTGAACAAGGTCAGTTTTTGACAAGACCTTGTAACGCTGTTGAGGAGCCAAATCTGATCCGAATATGCGGATCTGAACTGTTCGACTGATCAGAATACGATCAAGAAAGACTGAGTCCCGACGGATTCATATAGTTTCGTCAGTAACTGGCTGAATACTTATCGGAAACACCTGATCAGAAAAGGCGGACCAGTATCGGATTTCTGTGTTACTTCTGATCAGCCAACCTGATCAAAATTTCCACTCGGGATTCTGGGGTCGAAATATTTTAAGAATTCGGTAGGAAATGATTTGAATTTTTTTTAACGATGTTTTCAGCGGAGAAAATGAAAAATTTTTGTTGGGATTACTTGCTGTCATCAAATATTTGCATAATAAAAGAAGAAAAAAATTTTTCTCTCGGCCTATAGGCCAAACATCCTTAAATTTGAACGATTACAAAGCTTCCATTCGGAAGCAAACTCGCTAATTATACATAACCAATTCCATTAATTCCGAAAAAAATTATGCAATCAGGTGCAAACGAGGAAATCTCCTCGGATGTGTGGAGAATCCTATGCCCACACTCTGCAAGTCCTCTCTTCGTTTTATGGACTTTGGCACATCGTTGCTCCGGAGCAACAGACACGGAAAGTAGTTTCCGAAACTTGCGTAATCCCCACTCGTATAATTACATCCCAGTCGCCCTCTAGAGGGCTCAACTGATGGGATTAAACGTCCAGCATCCTGGAGGATATTGCTTTTTTCCCCGGCGAATTGGATTTCGGCGGGATTTCCGTGATGCGGCGGAGGAGAATTGGAGAAAATTTGATGACGATTCCGTTTAGAACTGTCTGATGCTAGCAGGCAGTGTTAGATCTTTTTGTGGAGAAATTTCGCCAAGTGGAGGGATTGTTTGTTGACATTTTATGGTAAACTGATTCGTTACCGGAATAATCATTCGATGGAGGAACGATTCATTCCGAATTGATTATTGGGGATTGATGATTTGGTGAAGAATGAAATAAGTAGATCAATAAATGAAAGGGATAATCCTTGAGGATGATGATGAAAGAGGCAATGATTATAGAACTGAATAGAGATGATAGTTTGAGATTGATTGAGTTTATGGAATTGACGTGTGATATGACAAGCATTTGGAAACAGCAAAAACTAGGTGTTGGGAAGTCATCTGAATTTAAGGTGTAATCTTCAGAAAATAGGTTTTTCTTACGATTGTCCCATGTTTTCTATAGATAATGTTCATAATGGTTCCCGGACTTTATTCCCCCAACAAAAATTCCCCGGAAAAAATTTCCCGGAAAAGATTCCCCCGAAAAAAAAATCCCCCGGAAAAAATTCCCCCGGAAAATAAATCCCCCGAAAAAAATCCCCCGGAAAAAAAACCCCCAGAAAAAATGGGAATGGTATTCATTCCGGGGAATTTTTTACGGGGGATTTTTTTCCGGGGGAATTTCTTCCGGGGAATTTTTGTTGGGGGAAAAAACTCCGGCCACCGGGGGTTCCCGGACTTTATTCCCCCAACAAAAATTTCCCGGAAAAAAATTCCCGGAAAAAATTCCCCCGAAAAAAAAATCCCCCGGAAAAAATTCCCCCGGAAAATAAATCCCCCGGAAAAAAATCCACCGGGAAAAAAACCCCCAGAAAAAATGGGAATGGTGTTCATTCCGGGGAATTTTTTACCGGGGATTTTTTTCCGGGGGAATTTTGACGGGGGAATTTCTTCCGGGGAATTTTTGTTAGGGGAAAAAACTCCGGCCACCGGGGGTTCCCGGACTTTATTCCCCCAACAAAAATTTCCCGGAAAAAATTCCCCCGAAAAAAAAATCCCACGGAAAAAATTCCCCCGGAAAATAAATCCTCCGGAAAAAAATCCCCCGGAAAAAAAACCCCCAGAAAAAATGGGAATGGTGTTTATTCCGGGGGAATTTTTTACGGGGATTTTTTTCCGGCGGAAATTTTTTCCCGGGGAATTTTTTTCCGGGGGAATTTCTTCCGGGGAATTTTTGTTGGGGGAAAAAACCCCGGCCACCGTTCATAATTTCATTTTTCTGGAAATGAGGAAGAAAATTTTCTAGCAGAATACAACTTCCATAAAAAAAAATACAAATACCAATAAAAATAAGGCAAGTCAGGGCTCAATAAAAAATCAGTAGATAAAACCAACGTCGTTGGTGAGGGTCACAACACGGAAGATTAGATTAATATTAGGCAGTGATTGCAAAAATTCCGCGCCAAAGACGTTGGTTCTATCTTTACTGATTTTTAATTGAGCTCTGACTTGGCTTCTTTTCGTTGGTTTCTATATTTTTTCCAGGTTTTTTTATGGAAGTTGTATTTTTCTAGAAAATTGTCTTCCGCATTTCTTAAAGAAAAATTTTCCTCGGCACAGTGTTTTATACAAAAATAATTATTTTTGTTTTTTAGCAAGATTTCAGTCATTTTTGTAAGGCTAGAAAATAATTAATTTTGTGTTTGTTTACAAACCCCGAAAATATACTGGCCCATATGTAATTCATGAATTTAATTAATAATATTAATTATTTGAAAACAGGGTAAATCTCGCAAAAAGCCAAATACCTTGCAGATCACCTCATTTTTCATATTAATTTTGCATTTACAATAAGTAAATGAGTTGGATAACAGAATGAGTGGAGTACAAGGAGAATAGAGAAAGAATAACATACTATTTCTCTCTCCCTCCTTCACACGCGAGGCTGGTTCACACTGCTATCAACTTCGAAACCCGAAACTCACACTTAGGGCTCGTAGATAATGTTTAATGCGAAAATGAAGATAGGAACTCGTTGCTATGCGCGTAACTTTCTGAATATTGACTTGAACAAAAAAGTGGGCACATTAATGAAAAGCTTGTCTCATTTTTATTTTATTTAATTGGCATGATCCGGCGGTAGTGCAAGAGGTACGTACTTCGTGCATAAATACCCGGCAGCGCTCGGCCTGAGGTGTTGAAGAGTCGGAGTTAAAAATTTTCCTGTGCCGATACGCTACCGCGTATCTCGATGTTGCGAATTGATTGAATGATAGCTTAAAATACAAGAGTAATTTTCAATACAAGAGTAATTTCCCACTTGCTTCTTCTAATTGTGAACTTGCAATTACATAATTTCTCGCAATTTCAGTGAAACTGCCAGTTGATAAAAATTACCGAGACTTTTTTTTACGAATTTTATGATCTAAAAAAAGTTCATTCAATATTTTTTCTCAAATCACAGGGAGAAGACATGAAATAAATAAAATATTATGATGAGACAGATTTTGTTGCTTCACGTTGAACGGCGAGATATTCCATTCATGCGAATGAATACCGTGGGGAATTACGTATAAAGCGGTATTACACGAAATACTACTCCGTGTTGTCAATTTTCACAATTAATGGCCGACTTTTTCGCCACATTGCCGGATTTCGTGGAATTAATATCACTCCTGCGGTTGGCTGATCATTAACACAAACAAATTCTCATTGATGTTGTTATCATTAATCCGAAAAGCCATTCATAATGACTTTAAACCCGGGGCGATAGAGTGCATCTGATAATGAGACTAAACGGATTGATATTCGATTATAGCCTCTCTCAAATGAACAAATTAAATTGAATGAAAAATAAAATAGATATCGCTTTTTTTGCAGTTTTACAGACAGAAAGAAATGTTCAGTAAAAATTACGGAACTCACAAT